CCAAGGATGTTTTTGACCTTAGCATCCACATCTGGATCCCTTCGCGTCCCGAGCTTCTCCTTCGTTTTGACCAGATACAGTGCAAAGGATAGAGAAATATGTCGGGGAGACCGCACGACCGTTGAAGAATCGTCTAGACGAGCACAGAAGAGCGCTGACCAACCCCGCTGCTTACCCACGAAGCAGTTTCTCGCGGCACCGTACACTTAGGCACGCGGATGATAATGCTCCGTCCTTCGACGTGAGTGTACTGCACAGACACTTGGTACGACCGCTGGAAAGGAAGATAATGGAAGCGCGGGAGATACATCGCTTAAAGCCAGAAATTAATGCAAAAGAGGAGCTACGTGACCTCCTGAGGCTCATCGCCTAATCATCAGACCCCACCCATGTGCCTCAATGTTATGTCAGCGCGGGTCATTTTATGTCCCTGTGTCCCCACTGATAGGTCCGTCCCTTCATCACTGGTATGTAACCATCTCGATGTATTCTTTTTGTAGCTGTTATATGTTAAGCACTGTAATTTAAGGCCTGACGAAGGCATTACGTGCCGAAAGCTCGCCAATAAACGTGTTAACCAAGTGAAGAGCTTCAAATACACCTTGCAACATTACACTGGATGAAGCTCAGAGATAGCACTATCTTACCATTCTTAGCACTGTTTTCCTAAGACGGAGGGAGAGGGCGTTTTTGTAAATTCTTGTCGACTTACTAGGAAATCGTATGATACCAACGGAATAATATGAGTTTTATTTTGACCGGGCACGTAACACGGGGCGTTTGAACACGGCTACAAACGGTTGTGGTTTGGCCGTGACCAATACCTGACGTGTGGGTGGTAGCATGCATTCAGCTACCATGATGTATCCCTGAAGCGTCTGAATGAGTTTGTGTAATAAAAGGCTTCTCAGTTTGCCAGCCGGTTTTGTTATTATAGGTGAACTTGGAAGGGAACGCTTGGTCGATACAGGTTGAGTGCGATATTACCAATTGGGGTGTGACGTATTCTGCTGCTTAAGCGCTGATTCCACTCATCCATGGTTGATACAGCAGATGGTTCAAGTGTTCCAACTGGGCCTTCAAGGTTGTATTGTTCACTTCCAGGTGCTATGGCTTTGCAAGAAACGAACGAGCGATAGCTTTACTGTTCAGTGAACTGTTCGATGCGTGTTAGCCAGTCATAGACTTTCCAGTTGGTCAGGGGCTTTTTTTGGCATGAACGGAAAATTCTTGTTAGTAATGATACTATCGCTATGTGCTAGTGGTCATTCAAAATGAAACCGTTACCTTAATAAAATGCTCTACAGAACATTGTTGGTTCATTTGGAGATTCCTCCCAACAACCTAACACATCGCCTGGTTCGAAACCGCCTCTACGATCGTTCATGTGGTGTAGTTTGCCCTGAAGCCAGGGAAGGAGAGTGCACAGTCGCAGGTGTGGTCTACAAGATCTCCTGTCTAACTTGTGGAGACGAATACATTGGTGAAACGGCTAGGCCACTCCATGTGCGGATCAAGGAGCATCTGGATGGAAAATCTAGACTGCGTATCAACGGCATCAAAATGTCACAGTGGTACAGGATCACAACGAAGACGATTTTAGGGCCGCGGTAGAGGTTTTAGAGCGCGAAGACCAACTTTCCGCGCGAAAAACTCTCGAAGCATTCTGGATTCAGGTCAGGAATCCAAGAATGAACCGAAGGGGAGAATGCTTATCAATCACGCGAGAGCTATCTCCCTATATAAGATTAGCATTTAACATTGCTCTGCATAGCTCACTTCGAAAACTCCCATCACCGGGACGCTCGTCGTTTGATCCGGTAGATTCGTTTGAGGTATGTTAGGTTTTTCTCTCTTATTTCTTGTTGGACTGAGTTGGGTCGAAAGGGTAAGAGTGCATTCGAAGCTAGTCAGATGTCACGATTCGGCTTGACCTTTCCAGGCTCCGAAGTAGGCGAATCCACCGAAACGTTAGTCGATAAAAGGTTATGACAACCTCGTCAGGCAGTTCAGGCAGTTTGAAAAACATTGCATCAACATATAAAAGAACTGCCGTTATTTATAGAAAGTCGGACATGGAAAACTGATAGCATTTCGCAGCCTCTTCTCTCCACCCCCCCCCCCTCCCCCACTCATCCTGAAAGGAATAACGCTCAGCCTGTCTTGAATAATTGAGCTCAAGAGCTTAACCAGGGTTTTAAGGTAACAGCGAAGTCGATGATATTCGATGTTGCACTTTCACCAAATCGACCCACACATTCTCCGCTGATCATTACTTCCATAAGCGAGTATAATCATTTTACGATTTCTATCGTACTATGAGCCTTCTCGTAACTTAGCAACTTTCAGAACCATCGCCGTTCTGCCAGCCGCCACCAGCGCTGTATGTTCCACTGTGGTCTATGTTTCAACCGGATATTGTTGTTGGTAAGCAATCGATTTCAGTAATTTGACCTATCGATAATGTTTTCAAAGCTTGCCTAGTTGCTGTGGTTCGTTTGCTGGGATTTTTCTGTTCTTGGGTGAAGAAGAGGTGAACTGGCGCAAACATGGCTATGTATGCGCTCCCACAGATTCATACGCCATGGGGCTCACTTTCATCGCCATATCGTCATAGAAATGCGGACAGGAAGCTCCAATGAGGGTTCAAACTCGCACCTGTAATTCCTTTTTTACTGCTTAAAAATTACGCTATCAGGACACCACTATCTGTTAGCACTGTAAACTGTGGAACACTGCAAAAATTAATAAAACAAATCATGCGCACTTTTAGATCCAGTTGCGGGGATGATGTATCGGTTAAGCATCTGCTGTGATCGTGCGGTTGACGACATTCCGGATAAGGTTAGAACTACTAACAAACATAATATTACATCAGCATTTACATTCTGAATATATTAGTCATTGAAGCATATGCTCTTTACAACGTCCTGTCTTTCCAGTGCACCCTAATCGAGTTTTTAATTCACCGAACCAATCAAAAATCACTTGTTCTAACTATGCTTCTCGAGTGCTTGAAGTCCAAAATGTTACGACTACGGCAAGTTCGGAAGTTGTTTGACCTGATTGTGGAAAAATGTTCTCTCTCGTCAGCGGTTGTAGTCAGTCAAACAGGTAACACATCTACCTGATCTTTTTTTATAGCGGTTTACTTTTTCAATTTCAGAGTATACAAAGCCGCAGCTGGTTCCCGTCGATGTAAAGCACTTGCGCATTGAACAGGCAGAAATGCAGAGCAGCATTTTCATCCCATTCATGGCCAGTTGATGGTTTTGTAAAAAACCTAAAATTGCATGAGGATTCTTTTTATAGGAGAGCTCCGTCAAAGACTCCAAGTATGTCGCTGACATTATGCTGCAATATCTTCGAAGTCTCCACCGTTATGCTGTTCCAGTAGAGGTGACATCCAACTTGTTTTCGATCAGACTTATTTCCTGTTAGAGTCAGTGGTTCTAAAAACAAACAAATAATACCTCTAATCTTTGCAAGGTACACAAGTTATGAGATCGGGAAAAGGACGTGGCAGTATTGCCTAGTTAATTGGCCCTACGTGCAATAGTACATGGAGCCAACCAACTAGGAAATACTCTGCCACCTTGCATGCATCACTGTAATGTCCCGTGCCTGTTGTGTTGTATACCTGTAGTGAGAGAATCACCCGAGGCAGATTGAAAGCGGATGTTTCTAGACACATCTAGGACTGTAGTAGTGTGGTCAGTATGGCTTGTTTTCCTTTGACGAATGAATTCACCCTTGCTTTCACACAGGCATATTTCCTGGAGCTGGTCGTCGAGTCTCTTGCCCTTTCAGGGGAAATGGGGAAGCTTCATCAGCTTGTAACGTATAAGGTGAAACAGCATTGCAGACTTACGAGTATCGCTCGTGAAATTGAAAATTCTTCAAGGTTATCTTCGATTCCAAACCGCTGGCATTTCTTCTGCTCTCTTACGAAGCCAGATGTCCGTCACTGTTCCAGTCCGGTATCGACATTCTGGCGCGGTACGTGTCCTTCCTACTATACTTGATCGCGTCAAAGTGTTGCCTTTTTTATTTGAGACAGAAGGCTTGTGATGAGATCGTGGAGGTTTTGCTGGAAAGAGGGCATGTTGTTGATGCAATGAGGTATTACATTCATAGCATTCGAATTGATAATTGATGCACACGTCTTTCGCATAACATCGAACGACTGTCCTGCTCTCTTTTCAGATACCTTGAAACTCAGCACATGGAGCCTAACAATCTGAAGATTTTCGACGTTGCCAAGCACCGAGATCGGGTTACTCAGTATGCTGTGCTGACAAGTCTAGCTTATAGAAAAACAAAAGGTCATGTTTTGATCATGATTCAACTGCCTCGATGTTAGACTTCTCGTAAGCTATTTCGCTTATACTGACTACCCCACTTCCCGCTTCTTGAGTTTAGGGCACATCACCTTAGAGCTGGCGAGCTTCCGTGTTCAAAGTTTTTACGCGGAGAACAGGGTGAGGATATGGACCTCATTCCCCTGAACCTGAGGGAACCAGCAATAGGGCGACCTGGTTGGGACCGCTCCGGCGAGGCTATTAGAAATCACAGGGCCAACGGAGATTTGAGTCGCCCAGGACTAGAATAACGATTTGTACTTTCAACGCACGGACGCTCACCGTGCAGGCCGAGACGAGCAGGCATCGCTCGCTGCACGCCGTATGCGAAAGTGGAGAGAACTCTTCCTCGGAACGTGCGTTAGCGGTGTGGCGTCTTCGTCTTCACGCCATGAACACCAACCATGAACATCGATTCGTACGAAATCTGACGACCCGAATCGGACGTTTGCGATTGAGAAGATGTGGTTCAACTCCAGCTTTGACAATCTTCGTCGCCGATGCACCAACATCAACGAGGGTGAGCTCAAAACATTCCATAGGGTTGGAGAAGTTCTACAAGAAGAACCATACCTTCTTCAAGGTCATCGTCGGTGACTTCAACGCTAAGATCGGACCAAGAAGAACGGCTGAAGAACTTCACATCGGAACTCACGGAACGGAGTGGAATGAGCAGGGTGAAAGGCTGTCTGAGTTCATGTCGACCCATACCATCCATGGTAACTCGCAGTTCCAGAAGCCCTACTCTCTACGCTGGACATGGGAGTCTCCTGGTGGACAATTCCATAACGAGATCGACCACATCATCTGCAATCGAAGGTTTTGCCTGACCGATGTCTTGTCCCTAAGTTCTACACGGGATCCGACCACCGTCTCCTTCGCGCAGTGACCACATATGGGAAGAATTTATAGGTGCACACAATCACCAAAAAGTAAAATGTTGTTCGTCAGTAGAACACGGAGCCGCAGTCGCTATGTAGAGAATCCAAGAATTAGAAAGGGAACTGGAGGGATTATACATCACAATGAACCAGTCGCCTCGCCGGCTGACGCCGGCGTGGCTCCTTCTGATACGGCCCGGCTGCGCCGGGCGGGCGCGGCTTCGCCGGGCGGGCGCGGCTTCGCCGCGCGTGCTTTCTTTCACATATTTCTAGATTCAACTGATATCCCCCTTTTGTTCTGTACTCCATTTTTTTCCGGTGTCTGAAGTACTCTTGAGCTATTTTACAGATTCTTCGTCTGACTCCGTCCACCTCGGAGCAGGCCCCGCCCACAATGTTTGTGCCCCACAATCCTCACCGACGACCCTCTGCTGACCTTGATCCACTTTTTTCCGGTCTTTGAAGTGCTCTGGGACCGTTTTGCAGATCTTTTGTCTGACTCCGCCCACCTCGGAGCAGGCTCCGCCCACAATGTTTTTGCCCCACAATCCTCACCGACGACCCTCTGCTGACCTTAATCCACTTTTTTCCGGTGTCTGGAGTGTTCTGGAACCGTTTTACAGACCTTTTGTCTGGCTCCGCCCACCTCGGAGCAGGCTCCGCCCACAATTTTTTTGCCCCAATCTTAACCGACGACCCTCTGCTGAACTTAATCCACTTTTTTCCGGTATCTGGAGTGTTCTGGAACCGAGCTACAAACATTTAAAATGAATACCCTGCGATTTAGGGCAAGCTCCGCCCACTGTGGGCGGGTCTCAACACACTTTGAGCGTGCCCTATATTCGCCAGATATTTACATTCTACACTGAGTTTTTGCGACTTCCAAACACTCTCGCGAACCGGGTTACTGAATTTTGCGAGAAGCACCGCCCACCTTGAGTACGCCCCGCCCATTTAGGGTGTACCTGCCACAGTTAGTCTGGCGACTCCTTACTAACCTTATTCCCTTTTTCCCCCCATCTTTAGGCTGCCCGGAAGCGAATTATGAACATTTTTGTGCGGAACCCCAAACTTTCGGGGAGTGCCCCGCCCACTGTGGGCGGAGCTTCCCTTAGGTCAAGTGTGCTTTTTATTTCTTGTCCCACGCCCTACCCATCCCCACCTTGACCGGACCTCTCCAAGTCGTTCTTCAGGTCGAACCGAATTTCCGGACAGACAAACTTACAAACAAACAAACAAACAAACAACAAAGCGAATTATATATATGGGGTGATACTTATTCCCTTGTACCTTCCTCACCCCTAAAAACACATCGAATTGAACGGGTGAGCATAAGTTGAACTACCACATCTCCAGCACCTGCAAGGGAGAAATATCCGTAACATGTTTAGATGTGAGATCAATCGACGTCGGACAAGGTCAAATTTGCTTGCAACGGTACAGGTGTCGGATTTCTGAGTTGCTAGAGTTTTCCCCATGTCGACTAACCATTGCAAGTATCCCTTGAACTAGGAAGTCTTCGTATACTGTACAGTGGGGATTTCCTTCCTCTCAAATGTGTACTTCAGTTTGCAGGTCTTACATAAAGAAAGTTACAGTGGCTCAAAGGCATAAAAATGCCCGTGTAATTATCAGACTCCTTCTTGCGGATATTTTCCGGAATTGGGAGGATCCAAGCACTTGAATGAATATTTATTATCTTGTAACTCGCCACGAGGTTGTTAGAAATACCAGTCGGCTGACGTTTCGGCACGACTTGCCTTCTTCAGGAGCCTGGAAGATGGAAACCAATTTGATTTACACGACCAAATGTCATACTACCCTACGAGACCTTCGAGACCCCTAGCTCCATCACATAATAGGAAAAACCAACCAAGTACCGTACCTTTGAGATCACGAGATCAGCCGTGTTCGACAATATGGTAATTTGTCGCCCGTGCCCGTATCCACTTTCCGGTAGGAAGGCTAACTTATTTAGGGGTTAGCTCGCGCTTAACCGATTCGTGACAATGTCCGCCACTGGTGGTGGACACCGAAATGTCCACTTCGGACCATGTCCACCATATGTGGCGGACGGGCTTTTGATGAAATTTTTAGAAACAGTTCGAGTTTCTCGAGGAACTTCTCCCAGCTGAAGTTTTTCTAGAAGTTCTGCTCAGTTCTGCCCAGTGGTACAAGTCTTCATACCTTTGTTAATTTATGCAAATAGTGGACCAACGAGATCTTCAGATATAAGGGTCCCAGGCACGATTCAACTAGCAGCACCTGAGCAGAACTTCTAGAAAAATTTCAGCTGAAAAATTATCGGTAGGGGTTACTCACCAGGGAGGTCGTTCAGAACGTGGAGCGCTTTTTAAAAACGGTTTTTTGCATGATGTGGGGTCACGTGCATGGAGTACCAAACTGGTGTTCATTTTTCCTGAACGCCTCTGGGAATACCAAAAAAGGAGTGAAAAGAAGTCCATGGAAACCGACTGTTTTTGAGCCTCAGTGGGCTCTAAATCACTTGCAACTTCGACCAGTTGCTGAGTGGAGGGTCCTTATAAAGGTACGTAGGAATCGAGGAGGAAAACAATTGCAAATGGGGTCTCACTTGAGGCACGTGTTCGAAAGTGAGCAGCTCGTCGGAATGGTCTCTTCAACGGTCTGAGCGGTATTCAGCTACAGCGATCGGATGGCCTAGTGGATAGCGTGGAGGATTCTCAATCGGACAGTGGGGTTGATGGTTCGACTCCCCTCGGCTTGCGAGTTTTTGCATTTTTTATGTTTCGCTGTTCTCGCTTCCATATATGTCTGTTTATGAATTTTACTCGGATATCTACCATTTATAGGCACATTCTAAATAGTTATACCCATTAGTCGGTGCTATTCAACAATTTCGATTTTCACATACCATTAAGCAAGAACTTTCTGAAAGTTGATCTTTATATGTTATTCAGTGCCCTGATCACGACTATGGCATTTACTTTCAGCTGTAGTGCCATTTATCGCCATTTTGGAGCCACTTCTTTCTCCCACTGGAGTCGCTATGTACACTCATTTGAGGGACTTTAGGGCCATTCTGACGCCAGATTGGTTGACGTCAAGAATAAGTGTCAGAATCGTGATCAGGACCATCGATTACCCCTATAGGCAAACTTTCGGCCAAAAATTTTTTTTGACTTTTTTGAGTTTAGGTATTGGGTTATGCTCAAGAGAGTCGAACCATCAACCCCCACCCTCACTGTCCGATTGAGAATCCTCCACGCTATCCACTAGGCCATCCGATCGTTGTAGCTGAACACCGCTCCAATCGTTGAAGAAACCATTCCGACGAGCCGCTCAGAGCCGCTCACTCTTAATCACGTGCCTCAAGTAAGACCCCATTTGCGACTATTTTCCTCCTCGATTCCTATAGTACCTTTATAAGGACCCTCCACTCAGCAACTGGTCAAAGTTGCAAGTGATTTAGAGCCCACTGAGGCTCAAAAACAGTCGGTTTCCATGGACTTCTTTTTCACTCCTTTTTTGGTATTCCCAGAGGCGTTCAGGAAAAATGAACACCAGTTTGGTACTCCATGCACGTGACCCCACATCATGCAAAAAACCGTTTTCAAAAAGCGCTCCACGTCCTGAACGACCTCCCTGGTCAGTGCCCCGGCCACGGATGTGATGTCCGTTTCTGGCGCCGGCAGTGTTTGACTCCATTTGGCATAGACGCCAAATTGGCGCCACCAATTCTTTCATAACCGGGGTGTCAGAACTCACCACTACCTTTTTCACAAACTTCAGGAAAAGTTACATACTAGGGCTTTTTGTTGGTCTGGTCACGAATATGACGTTCACTACAGGTCCCAGCGCCAACTGGCGCCAATGGGCGCCAATTTGGTGCTATCACCTCTTCCACCCAAATTGATGGGAACTTGGATACTAGGGTTATTCGCTGTCCTTATTATTGATATGACATTCATTTTAGCAGGAACGTTAGCGTAGGGCACAAGGGTTATCAATGCGATGCTGAGGCTGAGCTTGCCTTAGGAGGAGGGAATCACTCCTCCTCCAAGCTACAGCCTTTTCAGAGCGCTACATGGCGCTCATGCCATGTAGCGCTCTGCAAAGATAAAAACCAATGTCTTATTTGTGATCGGGCTCCCCCCCCCCCCAATTGAGCTCGAATGCAGAACAGCTGCGACTTTAGCGAAAAAAGGCGACGGCGAGTGCAGGTGGATCCTAGCGCCGAATAGCGCCGGTGAAAAAAAACTATAGGCACTGTCAACCCTTTACTGCCTCAGACATCCGGAACCAAGCCAACTTTCGACCAACTTTCTTTCTATGTGGACAGACTTGGCTTAGCAGTCGTTTCCTGAGTTGGTTTGACCTTTTGAACACGAGTACCACTTCCGCTCGGCTCAAAACCTCCTTGCCACCAGGAGGTTTTGAGCCACCTCAATATGTCAAATCACCTCAATATGCAAGCTTACACGGGTTTTCGAGGGAAAGACTATAGCACACTAAATTAGCGCACATTGGCGCCAAATGGCACCGGAGGACAGACGAATGTCATTTTTGTGACCTGAGGAATAACCCCTGCACTCGATGGTTCAGTAAAAAGGAGATTTCGGGAGCAGAAAGTTGAACAGTGCTAAAATTTTTAGTAAGGGGTCACGGGGGACTGCTGAGAGCTCACAAACGCTCCGGTCCGGACGAGGCTTTTCGAAAAACGCGCCTGGTCGCTAACGGGTTGATTGACACGCATTCAATCATCTTCGTTCGTCAGTCTTTTTCGCATTCAATCTCCGAAACGTGAGCCAACTGGAATTTCTAACAACCTCTTGGCGTGTTACATGACAATAAATATTCATCTACGAAAATGCCGAGGTTCATAGAGAGCCGAACTTGACGATCCAAGCACTCAGATCTAGCACTCGAATCTGTGTTTTCGCAAGTCTATTTCCATTTCACATGGTCTACTTATGAGAAAGCTGTGGTTGTTTAAGGACCTTCAGAATGAAATAACACTGAATGCTGCGGACGAGGAAAGTTGTCAGAATCTTATAATCGCCTAATTACTGGAAGAGCAATAGCCACCACGTGACCATGCTTGCTCGGAGAAAAAACCAAATTTTTGTTTTCAGATGACATGTTGAGATTGGAAAACGAGGTCGTTTCTCTATATTCTGAGGAAGAAATTAAAGAAGCTATGGAAGAGGTGTCAAAGGCTGCCTAAGCCGGATCTTATTCTACAGTGACGGTTGATATCTCTGATCCTATGTGTTTTAATGTTTCAAAATGTCCTTGTTCTCCTATATGCAGAGTTTTCTTCGCTCTTTCTCTCTTCACGGATGAACCGTTTTGTTTTCTTTTCTTTCTTTCTGTGCATTGAGACGTAAATCGACCGCCACCTTAACGGCTTAGAGTTGCCACCCAAATTTTTAGCACGACATGCAATAATGTGGTCCTACTCTTCCTTCTTTATTCAGTAAGTAATTTATTGCGTTACTCTAAGGGTTATAATTTGTTGTTAGAGATTATTGTTGTAATGTATGATGATGGTTTGAGGGTTCTAAGATATTGAAATCGTGTATAAAGCTTGTGACGAAAAATTGTACCTTTTGAAATGTGGGCTATATATATATATATATATATATATATATATATATATATATATATATATATATATATATATATATATATATATATATATATATATATATATATATATATATCAGGAACAGGAAAATACTGGTCAAAATGTACACGTAAATTCCGGTACTTAGGCTCCGTTTGCGCCAACGTTCTGAGCAACCAGGAAAGTATAGGTCGATCAGGCATTTTGAGAGTAGGCCTGCGTTTTGGTTCCAATCGAAAACGCTCCAAACGCTGCCGCAAAGTGATAGGTTGGACGGAAGTCCTGCGACACTTTGATTGAATTGTTCTAGAAAAAGACCAAAACATTTTGAATGTTTTCATCCCTGATTAGTGGAGACTGTCCTCTGGGGTTTCTGCACATGGGTATATCATGACTTTGTGGAAGTTTTCAAAGCTTAAAAGTCCCTCAGAGATCGAGGTACTTTTCGACCTATCCCATATTATGAGTTCCTGTAGGGCCACTCCGCCGTAGTCGAGGAAGCTTACACCTAACACCTTGTCTTCAGGAAAGATGTCGCTCGCCATGCCACAGTGTCCCGTTCAGCGCTTGAGAGCTGGAGTTATTTAATTCGGAGGCAGGCAATGTATAGGTCGGCCACCAGCCAGGCACGCCATCGTTGTGATGATCACAACAGAGGGTCGTATTTGACCTCGAGGGGGGGGGTCGTAAGCGCGGGCCCTTTCTGAAGTGAGGGTGCAGCGATACCCAGATGTCGTTCAGCTTCAATGATGAAAGACTTATCCATGTGAAGAACCCCTGAAGAGACACACACAAGACAGAAGCAACCTGCCAGCGCAGAAGTGGGGAACGGGCGATGACAGGAAATACGATGGCCGCCCACAACGACGTCATGAATAAACAGATGGAAATACACTTCCGGACCTTTCTATCGCAGAAGCACATCTACTTGCACGGGAGGAAGCCCTTTCTAGAAGTTGCACCTTCCCAATACCTCTGCGTGAAAGCGCTATGCATGGCGCATTGCAGAGGTGATGCCAATTGGCGCCCAATGAACTATTTCCTGATATCCTTGGCGAAAACATGCGTTTTAGAAGCATACCAAAGTCTTTAAGCCAACTGGAGGTTTTATGGCGTCGGAGGGGTTGGTTTTTCGTGTCGTCCGGCAGCGGTCGCGTTGTGATCACAACGGGGATTTTTTCGAATAGCAGGCCTAGGGATAAAATGAAAGTCTTGCTGGGAAGTGGAAAGCTTTGTCTAGCACTATTTTTCTTTTTACGGAAGGCCCCGTATGAAGCTTGCCATGGCGGACTTGTGAATGACCCCCCCCCATGATCACGACAGGATCACAACGGAGAAAATTTCTTGAAAAGGAATTTTTTTTTAAAATCGCTCAAACTCAGGTAACAAGTGCCAACCTAGTGCTCCACATTCCTGCTTTCCCCTCTCCAAAAGCTCTACTCTCAAATAAGTTATGGGTGTTCGAAGTGAGGGATACTTTTCAAGTGTTTGGCTCTGGGTCGTAAAATAGCTCGCTCCAATACTTTTCTATGGGCGCGCTCACCTTTGAATGACCGCAAACAACAAATTTTCGAAATCCATTCCCTAGATCTGGCTTCTAGCTCTCTCCTGGTGAGCTATTTTCTCTAGTCGTTTGTTTTCTAGTGTTTTTTTTGTTTCTTTTTTAATTTCACAGTAGTTTTCTAGTTCGTATTCTAGTTTTCTTCACTATCGAACTATTCCTACCCCTCTGGCGAGATCGGGCCGTTTTTAATCGACTTTTTTCTAGAAGGGCAGATTTGGCTGAAAATTGCTCACAGTGGTACTTCGACCTCCTGAACACGAATATCACATCCGCTTCGCCCGAAACTGCCTGGCGCCGGCGCCAAAATACCCTAAATCACCAAAATCGATGAAAACTTGTATACGGGGGTTATTTGACATCCTGACTACGAATATGACATTTATTCTTGGCGCCGGCGCTAACGTACGACACTATGGTCATCTGCGCTTTGCTAAGACTGAGCCTGGCCTGAGGAATCTTCCCTTTTCCCAGTTTCAGCCTCAGCAGAGCGCTAAATAGTGCTGGTATGGAGAAATGATGTCATACTCGTGATCAGGACATCGAATAACATCTATGGACAAAGTTTCAGCACAAATTTTTTTTGAGTTTTTGGCGTAGGAATAGTTCAATAGCGCCCAGTTCTCTTTATTGTCATTTTCTTCGTCCCTTTGCGCTTCTTTTCATTTGTACCCTCGTGACAGGGGGTCGTATTAGCGGATGATCACAACGTGATGGCGTGCCCTGCCGCCAGCACAGAATAACGGCAGTTTACTCAAGCTTCTTGAGGCGCAGCCGAACGTAACCACCAGTAAGTTGGCAACCTCTCTAGGCTCCACCTAACTGACAACTGCCATGCTTCTCCGCAATCTCGGTTGTAGGGAAAATTTTTTGTGGAGTATGCCTCATGAGTTGGACCAGTCTGACAAAGCGCACCGGATAGCCGTGACTGAGTTTTCTTTTCCTTGTACACATTGGAAGAAATTTTGTGAGATCTAGTGGCTGGTAGCGGATTCATTCGTACACCATGTACGCGTCGCTCACAGGATCTCTGAAACAGAAAGTAGATTGCTAGGCCAAAAGCAGATGTGCATGGAATAAAGATTTCAGTGTGTTATTGGTGTCACTTCAAAGCGGTATCGCTGGATACTAGCACAGCTGTAAGGACCACAGTCCACCCCAATCGACTTCAAAATATGGATGACGTCACGCTTGAATTCATTCAGAAATACTCAATTTTTCTCTACTACTCGGCAATGCGAAGGGAGCATGTGACGATCAGGCCACGTCAAAAGATCCTGAAGTTGATCAGAGAATGCGACCGTACCCAGCTTATTCACCAAAGTTAGCAGCCTCTAACTACCACCTCCTTTGATCCCTACCGCATCCTTTAGAAGCAAAAATTCCGAAAATCGACGTCTACTCGAAAATGAGGTCTCTTCTTTTTATCATAGTTGCCGTAGTTCTATAAGAATGGAAATGAGAAGCTGTGCAAAAGAAGGGCACTAGTCCTAGTCATCAATGGTGATTACCTTGTAGATTGGAGATGTCTTTTAGTGAAGGAAAATTTGGTCCGAAAATTTTGGTCAAAGTGTCGCAGGACTTTCCTTCCAACCTAATAAATATGATGCAGCCTAGCAACGATCTAGTTACAGCAGACAGTGAATACGTTTTCACACAGGTGACTCAGTCAGCGAATTTCCATTCCTGTCGGCAGAGCGGACACTGCGGTTTAGGTGTGTTTTGTGCGTCAGTCCATTTTACGATGCAGTGCATATGGAAGGGATGTTTACACTGGCCGAGCACCTAAAATCACAATTCTGGTTTTGGCTCACCTTCATCTTTAAAAGTCCGAATGAACACTAGCGCAACCCAAGAAAGCTGAATCATGGGCAAACATCTTGCCCCGAAGCACTACCCCAATCCGCAACTCAAGGAACTATCACTGGGGCATCACGTAAAAAAGCACAGAAAAAACTCCAATGTTGCGACTAACTAGAGGACATTCGTCGCCTGGACATTTGCAATCCACACAGCATGCCTCAAAAGGCATCCGACAGATTCCACAAGTGTCATCGCCTCCTTCAATCCATTTCCACTCTGCTGTGACCTGATAATAGCATTTTCAGAAGTATTAAAAATATGCATGAGTGTTCTGAAGCAAGTATACGCATCATGTGTTCACGCTATAGACCTTATTCAAAAGGAACTCGATAAAATTCGGGATTCCAAAAGCAACTTCCGAAACTGAAGTAAATGAGCAAGTAGCTTAGAGTGAAATACGGACATTAAGGGAGTGATGTCTCTACGACCATTTATTTATGTGAGAACTGCGAAGGCTCGCTTTCTCATGGCATCCAAATTGAAACGCAAAACCTACAAAGAGTTTGTTCACTTTAATCTTCAGTCGTGTATTGGAGGGTAACTCCGCAGGCGCAGCGTGCACAGCTGGAGTCGGGTTGAAACTCTGTAACAAACAAAAAATCATAGATTCGTAATCTTGACACGGGGACTTTGGCAGTACAGGGAGACAAAGGAACGTTGTGGGGAGTTGTTACTCTACTGTGCAAATCGCGCTCCATAGCTTAAAGAGGGATTTAATTCCAAAAGCAGGAGTCTAAAATACGGGTTCCAATGTCTGCGTTCATCCTTGCGATATATCGTCGAGTATTTTGACGACTATATCACCCAGACGTGGTACGAATCGATCTCACGTAACTGACGTTGAACTGATGGGTATCCTATCTGTCTACCTATCTTCTGACAATGAGCACTGTGGCCGCCGGTAACGTCAATTACGGCGATGTAATCCTAAGGTAAGGACGCAGCCTTAGGGTACCCTACATTTCCTACTCCTAGTTAACGCTCCAGGAACAAGAACACATATGATCGTTGTCTCCCTTTCTTTTGTAAATGAAAAAATTGTCACACGATAGGGTCAAACCTTCTTTTTGAGCGCAACCACTGGAACGCCATCCTCGTCTTCAGCGTAGGACGACCCATTTGAAGAAGCACTATACGTCTGCAATTGAACCAAGACATTGTTCGAAAAAGCATGTACATTTATCAGAATGGCAACATTGAACTATTTTTACCGCAAAAACTCGAAAGTTTTCTTTTGCTGAAACATCGATTATAGGGGTGATTTGGAGCCCTGATCACGAATATGACATTTCTTTTTAGTGCTGGCGTCATATGGCGCCACTATGGAGCCACCACCTTTCTCACCAAAATTGATTGAACCTCGTAAACGGGGGTTAATTGACATCTTGATCACGGGCGCTATTCAATTACTACTACCCCATCTTTGCGAAAGTAGGCCAGATTTCGACCCACATTTTCCTAAGGGGTCAGATTCTGCTGAAAATCCGGTTTCAGGGGTAGGTCGACATCATGAACACGAATATCACATCCGCTCGACCTGAAACTGACTACAGGCGCTGGCGCCAGGACAGCGGCGCCTGTTGCCGAAAACTTGTCTCCAGGGATAGTTTGACCTCCTGAACCTGAATATCTCATTCGCTTGAGTCAAAACCGCCTGAAACACTCTAAATCATCAAAGCCGATGAAAACTCCTATACGGGGTTATTTGACATCATGTTTACGAATATTACATTTATTCCTGGCGCTGGCGCTAATGTAGGACACTACGTTCATCTGCGCTATGTTGAGGCTAATTAGAAACAAAGAAAAACATTGGGGAAATGCATACACTCCACAGCACAGATGATCCGTTTCGCCCGTTGTCGTAGACGAATCATCGAAGTCTTACCAACCCCGGCAGTACGACAGGGTTGAAGACATGGACATGGACTACACAGGGGAAGGAGCTAAGAAATAGGACAAAAAGAGAAAACATGTAGAAAAAGCTCACGTGTAAAATTCATGCAATAAAAATGAGAAGGAATTGTACAGTAAAAATGAGAGAATGATATAACAGGTTTGAGTACTAAATACGTGTAAGAGGAAGAAAATTGGATTGGAGTAGATGGGCTAAACCAACTAAGGGAATGTTGAGTAAAAGACACTGTCGAGCTGATTACAAAACGTAAATCAATTGTAGGGATAAAAGGAGAGTTAGTGTTGAACATCGCTGCTAATGAGAATACTTCTAACCAGCCTTCTTATCTTATAGTTATTTGCAATAGAGTATTTGTAACTTATAAATTTATTTTTGTAAATACATTTCACAATGCTAGTAATAATAAAATCTTCTTCGTAGCCATTTTTCGAAGAGTGGTGACCATATCCGTTATTTTGCTTACGAATACATCGAAGAACGAACAAGTGTTTGCTAACCTCAACGTTTCCGTATATATAACAGAGGCTTTGTTGATAAGGGAAATGTTTGTGTCACTATATGGAAATCTGATTACATTGAAGCAAATCCATCTATTACAAAAAAATTATGATGCTAAAATCGTCCGTTTTATTATACAACTTAGTAACTTTATCATTAGCAATATTGATTGTCAAATCTAAATAATTGCTTGAAAATTCACTATTATGAGTTTTTTCAATTCAAGGGTATTTCGATAAACTTGATAAAGTTGTTCATCCACATCACCATCAGTTTGGTTATGTACAACAAGCAAATCGTCCATATATCTATATGGAATGAACAGCTTACTGTTATCAAACTTTTTGGATTTAGCATAGTAATACTCCAGAGAGCGTTAGATCTGCCAAAAGTGGACTAAAATTGCCACCTTGTGGGACACCTTTAGTCTGCTTGAACGTATTATTAGCAAAAAGACAAAAACTGTTACGTAAAAGATAGTCAATAAGGTATACTAAATCGCTGGATTTGTAATATCTGTAGTTGTTCTTGATTTCTTTACCATCTGTATAGAAAACATGGTAACCATTAGTGGCAATAAAGGATCTGTTGGCATTTTTGAAGCAAATGTTAAGAAGTTCTTGCATTTTCTTTATAATGAGATCATGTTCTAAATTTGTGAACATGTCCGTGAAATCCGCAGTGTAAATTTTGAGATTGTCGAAGATGTTGTGTAGTTCTTGACTTATATTAATACCAGTCGGATCGCCCGGCTGTCGCCGGGCGCTCCTCCTTCTGTGACATGGCCCGGCTTCGCCGGGCCATGCGGATTTGCCGCGTGCTAAGTTAAGGATCGTTGACCAACCACACTGTTCAAAGGAATCTTCTGCATCAGCCAAGAACTGAAAAGCAGCGCTTGTTCCGTCAAGGCGCAGAAGCAGCAGCAGCCCCCCCGCATCACAGAAGGAGGAAAGCCGGCCTTAGCCAGCGATCCGACTGGTACGTTCATAACCTACACGGAAATAGTGCAGCCTGTTTGGACAGCCACTGAAGCAGCCTATAATTTATGCAATCTGTCTTCCTAAAGCGTCTTGCTTTGGAATGCACTACCGCATTCAGCAGTGGAACCCTTTAAATGGCCCTCACTGAAGTTGCTGATGGAAGATAATTGTGGTAAGAGTGATAAAGTCAGTTGCTGCTGTTCATAACATCTCTGTAAACAAACCACATGCATTTGGAATAGAGCTGGCTTAGCGGTCGTACACGATGTCGTTACTAATAAGCAGTGAGGAATGAGTTCTGTTGGAATCACTGAGATCGTTATACTTGAGTCATATCGATCGCATTGTTGTTGTGAGCGGTGAAGCGGATTTTCCCATGCTACCTTGTCAATTTTAGCTCCTATCACTTCCGTACCCGCCAATAACACTCCCGTCCCGTATCACTATCATATCACCCTGTATCGCCTCTCGGATCAGAGGTCCCACTGTTGCTGTAACCTGCGTTACGAATCTGATGACCCTCCCCTTCCGAGGCTTACCGTATCTTATCAACTGTTATCACTTTCTGTCGCCCGCCAATAATGTTCCCGTCCCACACCCTATATCACCTCACGGATCTGAGTTCCCACTGTTGCTGTAACCTGCGCCACGAATTGACCCTCCTCTTCCGAGGCCCCTTATCGGATCTTATCAACTGTTATCAGCTTCTGCCAGCCCCACCCTACGGCATATCAGTACTTGAAATCATGGTCCCGCCGTTGCTGCAACTTGCCACGAATTCGGTCACCCTCCCCTTTTAAGGCCCCTTATCGAATCTTATCAAGTGTTATCACCTCCTGTCACCCACAAAAGTGTTCCCGTCCTGCCATGTATATCACTTCTTGAAATCACGGTCCCGCAGCTGCTGCAACTTGCGCTACGATTTCGGTCACCCTCCCCTTCTAAGGCCCCTTATCGAATCTTATCAAGTGTTATCACCTCCTGTCACCCAGTGTTCCCGTCCTGCCATGTATATCACTTCTTGAAATCACGGTCCCGCAGCTGCTGCAACTTGCGCTACGAATTCAGTCACCCTCCCCTTCTAAGGCCCCTTATCGAATCTTATCAAGTGTTATCACCTCCTGTCACCCACAAAAGTGTTCCCGTCCTGCCATGTATATCACTTCTTGAAATCATGGTCCCGCCGTTGCTGCAACTTGCCACGAATTCGGTCACCCTCCCCTTTTAAGGCCCCTTATCGAATCTTATCAAGTGTTATCACCTCCTGTCACCCACCAAAAGTGTTCCCGTCCTGCCATGTATATCACTTCTTGAAATCACGGTCCCACACCTGCTGCAACTTGCGCTACGAATTCAGTCACCCTCCCCTTCTACGGCCCCTTATCGTATCTTATCAAGTGTTATCACCTCCTGACACCCACCAAGTGTTCCCGTCCTGCCATGTATATCACTCCTTGAAATCACGGTCCCACACCTGCTGCAACTTGCGCTACGAATTCAGTCACCCTCCCCTTCTTTCTTTTAACTTTCTACGGCCCCTTATCGTATCTTATCAAGTGTTATCACCTCCTGACACCCACCAAAAGTGTTCCCGTCCTGCCATGTATATCACTTCTTGGAACTGTCATCCTATCTTTTTCTGCGACGCTCGCTATGAATTTCGTGACACACACACACACACACACACACACACACACAGACACACTTAGCGGATTATATATAGTAGGATTACTAATGGACCAGTATGTCTTGATAGTCCTGTTGCGATTCTGTATTACTTTGGCGTAGTTAATAAAGTGATTTTTGAGATGTGTGAAGACTATGTGTAGTTCCTGGGCCAAGGGCTTAACACTGCTATTATGAGCACCTGTGATGTAGGTATTTCTGCATTAAAGATATATTGATATTATTCTTTACACAAAGGAATTTGTGCTTCAATATTAAAGAATACTTGTTTGTATGAGGCATTAATTCATATGTGTTATTACTGTTTCCATAGACAAATGTGTGGTTGGCAGCATCATAAGAAATGCCCATTTCATGCATTATGTTCAAAAGGTAGAACTTCTTGCAGATAATGCCATAGTTATTATTTGCTTTGTCTAGAGGACAGAACACATATTTTTCTTGATATTGTTGTGATTGGATTAAGTTGTAAGGGTATGAATTTCTCTGCTATCCTACTCTATATAATCCGCTAAGTATGTCTGTCCGTGTGTGTGTGTATGTTTGTGTGTGCGTCTGTCTGTGTGTCACGAAATTCATAGCGCCTGTCCCAGTAGCAGTGAGACAATGATTTCAAGAAGTGATGTACGGGGTGTGACGGGAACACTATTGGTAGGTGACAGGAAGTTATATCAATTGATAAGATTCGATAAGGGGCTGTAGAAGGAGAAGGTCACTATAATCATAACGCAAGTGACAGCATCAGCCTGCTCTCGATCTTAAGATATGATATAGAGGATAGTCCAAGAACATCATTAGTGGGTCACAAAAACTGTAAGCTGCTGATAAGATTCGATAAGGGGCGTTAGAAGGAAAAGGTTACCATATTCACAGCGCAGGTCACAGCAGCAGTCAGCTCTTGATTTCGAGATATGATATAGGATGAGGGCCAAAAACATTATTGGTGGGTAATAAGAACTGTGAGCTGCTGATAAGATTCGATAAGGGACGTTAGAATAGTGAGGTCATCGTATTCATAGCGCAGGTCACAGTATCAGCGAGGCGTGCGTTTCAGCAAGTGATATAGAGAGTGAGTTGGGAACATCAACCGTGGGTGACTAGAAGCGATAACTACTGATAGGGGCTGATAATGGAGGTTGCAGTCGTCGTCGCTGTTCAAGGCGGTTCACGCTCTCAAATCATAGAGATTTAGTGATGAGGACATTGATGACGGGTGACAGGTAATCTTATCAATCGATAAAAATTGATACGATACCATCTGCGCTAACCTCTCACCGCTTTAATGCCGAGTATTCGAGGCTCAGATTGTGAAACTTTCCTTTGGCCAACACTTTCCTGATAACACTAGAAAATGAACTCATCCCACATCCCACTATCCTACTCTATATAATGTCGATGTCGACGAGCGGGGGGGGCACACAATAACTATGAAACGTATATCCCACGGGCGTACAGAATGCATATAGTGCATATAAAACAAAAAATCAATACAACCCCCACTTTTCTAGGAGAAAAATCCCACCCCAAATACGACCCCCCCTCCTCAGAGCAAAAGTACCTCATGTGTTTCACACAAGGATGCTGTACCCTGTCTGTGTGTTGTATGGCCGTTATGGCGCGGACCGCAAGTATAAGCGTTTACTATGGAACGCAGGATCCGCAGGGTTGCTCTATCTGTTATGATTGTACCAATACAGAGCTGTATGAGCAACGCAGTGATTGAAAGAGTTCCGTTCCCCATTATGGAGCGCGCCTGGCGAAGCCAGGCCAGCTCGGCGAAGCCGAGCTAGAGAGAAGGAGGAGAGCTCGGCGTCAGCCGGGCGATCCGACTGGTATTTTCAATATTAGCCTTTGTCAGTAGAGGTTTAACTTTGTCATGGTAACATGAACGAAAATGCTTCTGTAATAGATTAATCTTGTGATTGCTAGCTTTGTATTTATATTTAAAATAATTAGTTGCTAATTCGCTGTTCGAAATAGTTGCGCCTCCTTCACTAGATTGATGCGGCTGAATCTACTCTATTGCTGCATGCGGCTATACTATTCACCGTCAGCATCTCCTTCCGCGCGTACGGTGGATATAGAAGCGTTGAATAGGTACAGCCGCGTGCAGCAATAAAGTGGATTCAGCCGCATCAGTTTAGCGAAGGAGGCGACGACTTTTTCGAACAGCGAGAGACGACGACTATTACCAACAGCGAATTATCAACTGATTTTGATAACATGTTCCGAACTCACTCCTACGATAGCACCTCATTGCTGCTAATAACAGCCACACTCGAAGGGTACTATTACACCCCCCCCCCTCCCCGCTTTCTTGCTCCTGGCTTTTTCAGTCTTTCTTGATGTGGCAATTAAATGTCGATGCTGAATTAAAGATTGTTTCAAGTACCTTTTCCCTTGTCGCATAGATGTTACTCGGATCGCCAGTCGCATCCTCATTTTTAGCGAATTTTTGTCACTCTTTATTTGATTATGGTATTTTATCATACGAATAGCCTTAGTCTGTACATCCAGATGTGCTTCAGGGAGCCTTCTATTAGGTTGTCCCAAAAGTTCGTGGACACTTTCAAACTTTTTTTCGAATTAAGTTTATTCCAGTGGGAAGCAATTTTGATCAACTATATATATGTCACCTTCATTGGCAACTTGTTGCCAATCACGGTTGCCCTGCTTCCAGAAGCCTCTTAGTTCTGTGCCCAGAAAGGCAGCTGGGTCATTTTTGAGGTACTATCAAAAATCGTATTTTTTTACCAAGAAGATGGCCGCTGTGGGATTAGTTTAGATGGCGATCGGAAAGAGCTAAGTCAGGGCTACACGAAGACTGGTGGAATTCCCCAGCTAAGCTTCGGGATCTCGAGCAGTGTCGTTTTCCAAATGTGTGACCCTGAGCTGTGGTGGAGTAGGCAAACATTGCTCGGTTTTGGGACCAAATGGTAGAGATTTTCCACCCCACTTTGCAGTTGATTACAATAGGGCTCCCTGGTTACCATAGCGTTGGAAGGAAGGAATTCCGTTTTGAGAG